TAACAAAGTAATCATGAAAAATATTGCAGAGATGATATACGTCGTGTCTATCACTACAAATGGTCTAACTGGCCGGATCGTTCATCACCACGTTCCGGTACACCGTTAATTGCATTACTTATGAAATTAAAAACACTGCAAGAAAAAGGACCGGTTGCCGTACATTGTTCCGCAGGGATTGGTCGAACGGGTACTTTTTGTGCCGTTGATTATGCCATAGATCGACTTAACGAAGAAGGAACTGTTTCTCCATCTGATGTTAGTTCATCCATCCGAAGCTAAATACCCCTTTCATATTTCATCAAAAAAAAAACTAAGGAAAAGAAAAAATTGCATTCTTTAAAAAATTTTAAAATCGTTTGATACTAATGAAACGAGGTATTTTATGGTAATTGTTCAGTTAAATATTACTACTGATTTATCGAATTAAATGAATAGGTCAATTATTATATAAAATCAAATGATTCTAGTCGGTCAATTCAAAGCACCAATAATTTTACAGCTAATAGCAGAATAAATAAATTCTGATGAGCACTGATGAAAAAAAATAAATAAATATGATGCAAATTAGTGATGATTTCATTCAGACTGAGAAATGATATGCGAAAGATATCGAATTTATTTATATATCCAACTGTTTAATTCGAAAATAATTAGAGGACAAAGAATTTCTAAAAAAAAAATTAGCTGAAGAAAAAGCTTTTATGATTAAATAATTCCTCGAGCTTATAATTATAGTGTGAATTTAAACATTCTTCCCATTCATTATACATAATACAAATAATAGTAGTAATGACAATAATAAATAGCAATAATAATAGCAACAATAACAATAATGTGATAATATCAAATAATAGTGATAATAATGGGAGTAATAGTAGTAATAATAATAAAAATACGAATAATAAATAATAAAAGTAATAGCACAATAACACTAAATAATGATAACAAATAATGATAACAGTATTTATAATGAATAGTAATAGTGAAAATTATAAAATGATAATAATAATGATAAATATTAGTACTAGTAATGACTCAATTGCTGATATAGGTTGTTAAAAAAATTCGCCGTCAACGGCTACATTCGGTGCAATCAGTATTGCAATATTTATATATGCATATTTGTCTAATCGAATATATGCAAATAGTGAAGTCATTACCGCAAGATTCACTTATAAGACGATTTCGGCGTGATTATGAAAAATATTTGAAAAAATTTAATGAACATCTAACGAAAGAAAAACAACATGTGAGTGGTTCTACGTAATCAAATAAATAATAATTACTATATATTTGAATTGTAATGTATTTGAATTGTAATGTATTTTTAGATTGTATTATATTTCATAAATGAAATACTATAATGCAAATTTTGTAATAAATTCAAATTATATTGAAAATTTAAGCTTGTTATTTTACGTAATATAAAAAAGAAGATTGATAATTAATTAAATTAAAGTTTTGTTAACGCCAAGCAAGCGTAAGATGTTAAATGGGGAAATTAATTAATATTAATTTTTGGTGATTTTAACTTTAGTGGAAGATTAATTTGAAGGAAGGACAATAAGCAAATATTTGGAAAAGAAAAGATCAAATAATGAAGAAGATTAGGAAAGGGTAATAGATTTAGTTATAGATGTCAAATTATAAAAATGGTGTATTTCGATTATATGATTTATTAATTACATGTGAAATATATTTAAATCGCAACGTACTCTTAGATTGTATTATATTTTATAAATGAAATACTATAATACAAATTTAAAACATCAAAAATTTGCTTCATTTAACGGTTGTAATTAAATTACAAAATTTTAAGAATTAAAGTGAAGTGTTCTGAAATTTTAACAACTAGATAATTTATTAATTAATACATATACAAATGAATACTAATGATACATTTACGATTACAAATTCAAATTTACATCTTGCTTACTATTGAGGCTAGCAAGAATGTCAAATACTTCCAGTGCAATGTATAAGTCATATATACTTAATTCATTCATTTCTGAAAATTTTCTTTTGCAGTATCCCGCATACAATTATGCTGCCATCCATAAATCACATAGATAAATACTTACTTTCCTCATTGATCTATAATTATCATTCTAATAATCAATTACATAACGTCATTTCATACATTTTTTTTTTTGTGAAATTCTATTTCATAATAACACGTTAAGAAAGTATTAATTGCAAAGATCAACAAACAATCTAATTATTAGAATTACCTGTATTAAATATAATTTTACACAGAAGAAAATTTTTAAATTAGAAAGAAAATTATTGAGCATCAAAATGTTAATATTTATTTTGCATTCATAAAACTATTGTAATTGTCTGCTTTTAATTAATTTATTTTTGAAATGAAAATTATTTTTTGATAACTGTTAAAAGGTAATATATTATAGCATTTTCAACGATTTAATGCATTTATTGCATGTATATTTGTAATGGCACTTCAATGAGCTAATAATATAAGAAAATAATTTTTGAATAATTTCTCGAGTCAGAAAAAAAAATCTAATTAAAGTTGTATGAAAAATCAAAAGCTTCATCGATAGTTTTATTTCTTTGATTTCAATTCTACATCAGATAGTTGTGCTTTATTTACTACAATGATTATTTACGATTAAACGACAGATGTTTATACAAAATTGTTTATTAAACCGTAATTCTAAATTTAGTACTTTTATTAAATCTTACGATTTGTTTATTAATTCGTAATAAATTTAGAATTGGTTTCAATAACATTAACCAAACATACAGAGATTATTGACTGCTGGTTAAAGACTAAGGTCAAATGAGGTCAAGTTATATATCATCATTTCCGTCTAATAATAACAATTTTTTATTGGTCTCGTGCTCAAAATTTCCATTTTACCGTTGCCCTTTCATATTTTCTCATATTCTTTTAAATAAAAAAAGAAACCAACAAATTTTCATTTGAGTCACTTTTGTATGGTTTATTGCACTTGTTGAAAATGATTGAATCCTTCTTTCATCGAATTTTTTTAATCATTTTAATTTATAATTAACAAAAATACTAATCATTGAGTTTTATCAATCAATCTTGAAACAATATTTAATGTTAAAATAATAAAGGTTATCAACAACCTCTATCTATTTTTTGAATTTTACTTAGTGTACATATATAATGCCATACAAAAGTACCTTTTGCTAAAAATTTCAATGAATGTTTATTTTTAAAAATTAACCTTATTTGCTTGAAGGAAAAAGAATGAAATACTTTGATTATAATTGAGAATTTAACAATTTATAATTTCAGTAGAAAGTTTTGAAATATTTCGCTGGTATTTCTAGAAAACCAAATAAATGTATTTTTGAATCATTTTTATCAGTCATATCACATCAATCAATAATTAATCATTAAGTGTTGCTGTTGCTGTTTTTCGTTTATTTGAGAAAATATTATTAATAATTTATTTATATTTTATAACAAAATTTATTACATTAAAAGAAATTGGAATTGTGTGTTTAATTTAAACTATTTCGTTATTTCCTCTGTTTTTGATTCATGAAGATAGCAACAATTTTCACATTTTTAATCAGTTTCTTTAATTAAATTTATTATTTACTTTATTTTTTCTGCTTTACAAAATATTATCATTGAAGATGTATGATTTGATGTCCAACGTGTAAAATGAAATGAATCGCTTTTTTTCTTTTAGGAAAATTTCATTACTTATCTAAAATCGGAAAACTTGTTTGAAAATCGTTGATTATTTTTATTTTTTTGTCTCTATTACTGTTTTACTAACATATGTAGAAAGAAAAATGATGTTGAATAGGTTGAAAAAGAGAAAAGAAAAAAACGGAAAAAAAATTTTAACGAAATAAGTTTAATGAAGAGAAAATGATGCAATGAGAAATAAAAATTTTCACCTCTTTCCTTCTTTTCTTTTTCATATTGAAATCTGTTATTTTATTTTATTGAGAAAGGTGCAGTTAATTGAAGAAGGGAAAACTGCTGAAAAACTGTAAATTGGGATGGAAATTTTGTCTAACTGATTTATTGTGGATGGATAGCTAAATGGATGTTTACTTAATCGCAACCGTGGTACTGCTCATAGATTTGTTTATCTATGCTTGCTCTCGGTTGCTAGAAAATAACTAGACGAAGTGGGGGAGTGAAAAAATTGAAAAGAAGGTCAGTCGAGAATTATTGAATGAAGAAAAAATATGTGAAAAGAATTATCCAGTGATAATCTAAACTGTTGATAATAACATCTCGGTTATATTATCATTTGGTCTTATCCGACATCGCTATCAATCATTATTATTCATTCCTGGTCATATCATCTTCTATCGTATTTCTTATCACAATCAATTACAATTCAATATGCGGCAACATTGTATATTAATAATGGATATCGATGAAAATATAATGAATGAGTTGAGAAGAGATTTTTCAAGATCGATCAAAGACAAAGGTTTTTCAAAAATTGATCATTACTAGAAATAACTGATGAATTAAT